AGAGAGAGAGAGAGAGAGAGGGAGAGAGAGAGAGAGAGAGAGTCCGATCCAGAAAGGGAGGAGGAGGAGATAGGAGGGGGGAGAGAGAGAAAGAGAGAGAGAGAATCCAACTCAGAAACCGAAAGGAAGGTGACTGGACAGAGAGGAGACGGAGAGAACTCCCAATGTAGAGGCCTCGCTTCGACTGCCGAACACCTGACTAAGACGGACGCTTCTACACAACGCCAATCGCAATCGCCTGCCCACCGCTGAACAGCGAGACTTGACTCATCCAGGAAAGACGAATAAACGAATAACAACACAAAATAGCAGACTATGACATGTACATACGTCGCCCCTCCTCTCGACCATGGGGAGTGTGGAGACCCCTCCTACCCTACCCTACCCCACCCATCGATATCGCGGCGATGATACCGCCCCATCCACTCACAATTCACCCATCCATGCATTTACTGCCCCGCCCACCCGAAGGGTGTTCCTATCTATTTTAGTTAGACCCCCCCCTATCAACATAATCAACAGAAAGGATTACAGCAGCAACAGCAGCAGAGAGTGGCTCCTAGCAACGCCCATAAACAGCCATCATCCTTTCGCTGTTGCTGTGGTGGTTGCGTCGCCATTGTACCAGGCGCGAAAACCATCTGCGGAGGCTGGACCATAGGCGACATACCGTACGCAGTAGGCTTCCCCGCTTCCATGGGCGGAGGGAATCCCGCGGAAGCGCCATAAGGCTGCGGAGGCGCACCGTATGGCTGGTCCGGCGCGCCATATGGAAGCTGCTGGGGCGCGCCATATGGCTGCTGCTGGGGCATTCCAGGGTAGTAACCGTAAGGCGCAGGTTGACCCCCATACCCCCCCCCGGGAGCTCCAGCTTGAGACAAAGGCGGCGGAAAACCCCCACCGGGTGGCATCACATATGGGGATGCACCTTGACCCTGGTCCGTTTGAGGATACCCAGCCGGCGCTGCTTCTCCACCCGTATAATTCATTCCTCCCCCCCTCTCCCTCCCTACCTTTCTCTCCTCCCTCCCTCCCTTTCTCCTCCCTCACTTCCCGCCGCGCCTAAACAGCTCTCTCTCTCTCTCTCTCTCTCTCTCTCTCTCTCTCTCTCTCTCTCTCTCTCTCGCCCCTCAGCACCACCCTCGGGAGTGGATTGTCATCTACCGTCGTTGCTGCTTGACTTGCTTCTTTCTACTGATTGGCAACAGGGGATAGGGGGATAGGAAAGGCGCAAGGACAGAATTTGTGACTCGGCCACCCTTCGCCCATTCAGAGGCCACCAAAACGGGTATTTTTTGCGGCTCCACGTGTCGATCCGTCCTTAGGCGAAGCTGCTTTCGTCTGTCTGCCCATTCGATGGAATGCCAAGTGGGATGATGTGGCGTCCGTCTGTCTGCCCATTCGATGGAATGCCAAGTGGGATGATGTGGCGTCCGTCTGTCTGCCCATTCGATGGAATGCGAAGTGGATGATGTGGCGATGATGTCAAGACGCAACGAAACGAACAACAAAGCACAGCAACACGAAAGTGAGTAGGGTTTTCAGGGGAAGGAATAAGACAAGGAAAGCTAGGGGAAAAAAACAGAGAAAGAAGGGACTAGGGGGGGGGCAACAACTCAAATCGCAGAGATCTGCCGAAACGTTTGTGAGCTTTTGGGGGGGCAGAAAGTGTGAAGAAAAAGAGAAGAAAGCTTTGACAGAAAAGGAAAACGATGTGGGAGGGTACATAGGGAAAAGACGGCAAACGCCCAGAGGGATAACTTGGGAAAACGTGGCGGGTGAGGCCGGAGTTGGGGCCCTCTCTCTCTCTCTCTCTCTCTCTCTCTCTCTCTCTCTCTCTCTCTCTCTCTCTCTCTCTCTCTCTCTCTCTCTNTCTCTCTCTCTCTCTCTCTCTCTCTCTCTCTCTCTCTCTCTCTCTCTCTCTCTCTCTCTCTGTGTATATATATGTCATATATATCATCACATAAATATCAGAGCGCAAAAGCGAAAAAAACAAAGGAAAACAAAAAAGATATCAGTTCATTTTTTACTTTTGTCCTTACAACTCCCCCTGTTCAGAACCTCCTCTTGCGTACAAGGCCCCGCCCACGTGGATGTAGGTTGAGCGGCGGCTGCCCCCACCCCCGTGGGTCATATCGACCCACTTGCACACAGCCAGAAGGCAAAGAGGCAAAGAAAAGAGGAAGGGAACAGCCAAATRATACAGAACAGGGGGCAACAAAACAAATCCCAGATGACAAGTCCCACATGCAAGCACCGCCCCAACTCACAGGCCAAACAACGGGACGAGACCAACCAGGATATCAAAACATTCTTGTCTGCGAAGAAAGCAAAAAGAAAGGCTCCGATCCCAGTGTGACAACCCAAAAGAAAGAGAAGACGATCCCGGATAACGATTCCCACATACAAGCACCGCCCCGCGCTCAAAAGGCCATATATATCTGTGGGATGTGTCACTTGCTTCGTCTGTTTAATAGGCTTTCTTCTTCTGTGAGGTTTGGTTTCCTCCGCCTTTTGTTTACCTCTTTGCCTTTTGGCTGCGTGCAAGTGGGTCTTTATGACACACGGGGATGGGGGCAGCCAGCGCTCAACCTGTCATCCACGTGGCTGGCCTTGTACGTAAGAGGTGACGAACAGGTGGGGCTTTCCTTCCTTACTTCTTTTTCTTTTTCTTGTTCTGTCTTTTTCCGCCTTTGCGCTCCAATTTCCACTGTGGCAATATATATAGTCACACTGTGAATCAGAGCGCGAAGGCGAAAAAAAATAAAACAAGGAAAGGAAAAGAAGGAAGGAAGGAAAGCCCCACCTGTTCATCACCTCTTACGTACAAGGCCAGCCATGTGGATGACAGGTTTAGCGCTGGCTGGCCCCATCCCCGTGTGTCACAAGGACCCACTTGCACGCAGCCAAAAGGCAAAAAAGAGGTAAAGAAAAGAAGGAGGAAACCAGACCTCACAGAGGCAAGAGAAAGAGAAAGGTCAAAGAAAAGACAAAGGAAGAAAGCAAATGACACATCCCACAGATAAACCAATTGCCACTGTCACTACAAAGTTCCACATATTTTTTTGCATGTTTTCTTTTTTCTTTTCTCCAGAAATTTGTATTTTTTCTCTTTCTTCCTTTCTTTTATCTGTCCTACAATTAGTGTTGCTCCTGATCGCTTGATTCTATTGACCAGTCAGGAAGAGGAGCCCCCATCCCGACAGATAGGACAGGCACGCTGCGGATGACGTGGATGTTCACAACGATACCCAAGGAGACCTACTTCAGCACAGCATTCAGCCGGACGGCTAGCACGGACCATCCCATCAAAACAGTCCTCTCTCTCTCTCTCTCTCTCTCTCTCTCTCTCTCTCTCACACACACACACACACACACACACACACACACACACACACATCCCCTTGCTTCTTTCAGCTTTCTGTGTCTTGCCCTCTCTCTTGAACATACACAAAACCATTTTGCCTCTTCTACCTGCCCTACCGTCTCCGATTGGAAAACATAGCATCACAATTAACGTGCAGGACAAAAAGATCCTCCTCCGCCATTCATCTGTGTGATGATACCCGACGTCGGGGATAGCAAGAACAATCCTAGAGTTCCGTTAGGGAAAATGTCTGGCAGTACTGATGACGGAGACATTGGGCCTCGCTCCAGCACTCGCCAAGCATGAAGGACGAAGACATGGTGTCTATCTTTCCATTTTCTTGCTGAAGATGCACTCGCCATTTTCACTTTCTTGCTGAAGATGCACTCCCCATTTCCACTTTCTTGCTGAAGATGCACTCGCCATTTCCACTTTCTTGCTGAAGATGCACTCCCCATTTNTTTCTTGCTGAAGATGCACTCCCCATTTCCACTTTCTTGCTGAAGATGCACTCGCCATTTCCACTTTCTTGCTGAAGATGCACTCGCCATTTCCAATTTCTTGCGGAAGATGCACTCGCCATTTCAGCACGTGCACAGTAGTGGAGCGAGGCCCAATTTACGGAGGAAGAGAGCTGCAAAATACTTTATGATGAAAATGCTCCGACCCTAATTGATTTTTTTTTTAAATGAAGACGAGGAAGATAATCAACACAATAAGAGTGAAAGAGCTGGAATTGACGACGGCAAGGGGAATGAAACACGAATAAATTTCATAGATGAAAACATCACAACAAAAAAAAAAGGGATGAACTATATTCAAACCGAAATAGAGAGATCAATCTCATCCAACGGGCGAAGAGCTGCGAATGACAACAACAAGGAGGTGTAGAAGCAACGCCGGGCAAGAATTGCACACACAGTTTTGGACTCAACGCCCTGCGCACAAAGTTTTGGACTCAACGCCCGGCAACAAATGCACTTGTGAGGAGGAGGAGGAGGAGGAGGAGGAGGAGGAGGAGACGGTGGAGGTGAAGGCAATTCTCGAAAGAATAGGTTGTGCTCACTCACCAAACCCGCACCAGTACGTCGGCGACTGGCGGCTGTGCAGTCAATCAATTGCCACGTGGGTCCGCGCAAACACCAGCATACACCAGCAGCTATCAAGCTACTACCATTGAGGTCGGGCGTCGGGACCTCCTTACCGCTGCCAACGTTGGACCGACCTAAGGGTCGACTCGCGCAACGGTCTGACGGAGCCGTGTCCAGCAAGATGTTCCAGTAAGAGCGCAAGGTTTTCAATCTGTGCGCACAAGGCTTCCAAGTGATAAAGTGCGCAGCGCGCCGTGCGTCGAAAGCCCGGAAGTAACAAGAGCAATTGATCAGCTCTTCGGCCGGTCAAGTAGTTATTCTGGTACAGCACCTTCATGCTCTCCCGCCGTCCCTTCCGTAATGGAAATGACAGAACCTACCATGAGTTTTGTTTCCTGCCTACGGTATCGCTCAGCAGAGTCAGCACTATGGAGCTGCACACACAACACAGCGTGAACACAGCTATGACCGCTGCCGACTCGAACCACCCGGTCGGTCAACCACGACCAGGGCCTAGGTCCCACTTGCACGAAGTATGCGATATTGACCGTCGATAACGAAGATCAACGGCCGCAATCTCCTTATCCGTGCAAGTGGGACGTTGCCCCAGAGCAGCACTGGGGTCGGAGTCAATAGCCAGTACCAGTTTGGGCCTCGCCACACCACTCTCGAAATGTGAAAAAGACAAAAATCTGGAGGGTGCATCTGGTCGTGTTCTAGAGGGAAGTTCATTCTCAATTTGCACATTTCGAGAGTGGTGTGGCGACGCCCTTTGTCACGGACAAAAGATCGAACCTTTCTCGGGGGCTAGGACCCACTTGCACGAATAAAGAGGTAGTGACCGTAGATAGGAAAGATCGACGGCCAGAATCTCGTAATCCGTGCGAGTGGGACCTGGCCCAGGGGACACAGGTAGAACGATCCTCCACACCAAGCCGACCGCGCAAAGAGGCAAGTCACACCACGTCGCACTACGAGAGCGCAACGAAAAGCGGCGCGAACATCGGGCCTTTATTCCATCCATTACATTTTACTGCCGAGGTGTGCGAAACCAGTGTGAACCTTCCGCTAGAACTCGCGGAAGCATCCCTCCCTCCACTACACAACGCTCTATATATGCATCTCGAGCTCAATATTCTTTCTTTCTTTTTTTTTCAAGATTTTTTTTTTTTTTCTAGACGACCTTTTTTTTCGGGGGGGGGGGATTTTCTAGACGGTCTTGAGATATCATCATTGAGCTGGAAAAAAAAAAAATCATTGAGTTCGGGCCCAGGCAATTCAGAAATATTTGGTTTTACTAATCCCGATCCATCATCTGGGTTCGAACACTGGTCTGTATTTTAACAGTCCAATGGTGTACCCGCTGAGCGGCTCTTGTGTTTGACTCCAGTAAATGCACCTGGTCGAGAGAGAGGTCCACAAGCCGTCCGAGCGCTTCTATTGGCGGCGATTCCAGAGCGGCTCCCATGCCGACGTGTGTGGACGGGAGGGGGAGGAGACGCGCGAGAGTGGTTCCTTCTTTTTTCTTAGGGCCTCGCTCCACTACACAACTCTCTACATGCATTTCGACGCTATATTGACCGTATGCATTCGAAGTGTTGGACTCATCCCAATGCACCTGGTCCATATGGCGTCCAGATGCATATAAGGTGTCGTGTAATTGTGTAGTGGAGGCCTTAGGCCCTCCCCACACCACTCAGGGAAAGAGAAAAATCAGAGCGCACCTTGCGAACTAAAGTAAAGTGGAAAGATTCGTCCATTACTGTGAATAACGACGGATGTACCTGGCCACCTTCTTCAGGAAGATGCTTTCACATGTTGTTCATTTCGAGAGCGGTCTGGCGAGACCGTTATACCGACAATTCGCGGCGATTTCTGAATCCTTTCCGGACAGCGGAGGCGGGGGACTCTACGGTAGTCCGGCCAGCAAGCTGGACCTTTTTTTCTTTTACCACATCGTGTGACACGTGTGTGTTTTGCTTCAGTTCTGTCTTTTCTTCCCCCCTTTTTGGCTTTTTGCTCCGACCCCCGCTCTTTCCGACCCCTTTCCACGGTTTTTTTTTTTTTTTTTTTTTTGGGACAGCATCAAATAAAATATATTGCCTAAGACCTCTTTGAAAATATGGAGGGAAGGGCGACTTTGTCTCTATATATGACAATGGCACCTTAGAACCTAGAGCAGATCCTGTTGAAAATTAGTATGGCAATGGGCTGAAGAATAATTCGGCTCCATCTGATGGGTGTAAGGGATTGGTACCCACTGATGATGTTGTGGAAGTCATACCCTCCGGATCTGAAGATTCAGAAGAAGAGGAGGAAGAGGATGAGAAGTTGGAACCTGTGGAGTTCTTCTCCCCTCCAGAGGGTATGTTCGACTCTCCCGTAACTGATGGAAAGGACGTGGGCTCAGAGAAGAATGATCATAAGGTACCACCATTTATCTTCAGTTCATCGGTCCCTACACCTACTGTTTGCAAAGGAAAGGATAATTTGATGCGTCTTGCGATCTTTCAGTCCCCCACCCCTAGTAAAAAGCCTCGGTTGGAGGGGTGTACCCCTCAACCAGGATGCAGGGAAGATGAGGATCTAGGTGGGGGGGACGAAATAGCACGAAGCTCTCCCCTGAAAAGGGGAAGGTCCCAGATATCGCGACCGGCCCGTCGGTCCTTGGCCATGGCAGCACCTATGCGTACACTTACTAGGGAGGACAGAAGCAAGGGCCACACTCCCAATTATCTGGTCCCCCTGATCTGGGCCCATGATGGAGAAAAACCCAGGTTTCTCACCTTGCTTAACAAGGATGAATCCTTGGTTCTTCCATATCTGGTCCTGCGCAGCAATCCCTCCCCCACTATGATTTGTAATTTAATAAAGATACATCTACTGCAAAATCTGGGGGAGGTGGGTATACTGCCTGAACCAAAGGTCACGTGCCACCTGGTGGAGACACCTGGTGGAGGGAAAGTAGGTCTGACGCTAGCTTGTGCGGATCTAGTTCATGTTACGGACAACAAGGCCAAATGGGACGCTCTAAAGATCTATTGGGTAGAATTGGCCCATCTGGCAAATGTGCAGTCCAGTACTATACAGAGTATAAAATTAGTTGCTGGTTTAACTGCCCAGGCGGTGTCTGAGTGGCTAGTCAGTTCAGATAATTTATCCATTTTGCTTTCTGACGCCTTCACAGAACTGCTGCACAAAAAAAGAACTGGTAAGAATCTTAGCTTCTCAGTGGGGGAACTCCACTCTGAAGCAATCGCGGCAGCAGAAGACGGCACTGTTCAGACATCCCACATCCAATCCCTGAGTGGCCCATCCAGTATTAATGGTATTACCGAATAAAATTAATCTCGCTAGTTGGAACGTTCGGGGACTCGGAGATCAGAACGATCTGTTCAAAAGACAACGTCTAGCCTCATGGGCCCACGCAAACTATATCCACATCCTCCGCCTGCAGGAAACCAAAATTGGACCAGACAAAATCACAGAAATTTCTAACTGGTGGAGAGGTCCCCAAATTTGGGCCCCTGCAGATGGCACCAAGGGTGGGGTAGCCGTTCCGATAGACAAAACTTGGAAGTGGAAGTTATAGATTCCTGCGCAGACACGGAAGGCCGCTGGGCCTGGATCAAGTTAGCAGTGGCGGATGAAGACTGGGCAGTAGTATCGATCTATGCACCAGTTGACTACACCAAGAGAATTAATTTTTTTGTGGATCTGCCTAAAATCATCCCGGATACCGACAATCTGCTTCTGTCGGGTGACTGGAACTGCAATGAACCCGGGCTTGGATTCGCCAAACACCTTCCCAATAAGGGAAGACGCTCTAATTTTAAATTCTTTCATGGAATCTCAAACTTTAACCGATGCTTATAGAACTTTCCACCCTGATGAACATGGCTTTACGTGGCGAGGACCTCGTCCCTCACCGAACACCCCACGACCGAGAAGAAGATTAGACTTCATCTTGGCCCGAGGGGATCCGTGGAATCGTTGCATTTCAGCGAATGTATCACGTGCGTCCATGTCCGACCACTACCCAGTGGTAATACAGGTTATGGCAAGGGACTTGGTGGACAGATACAGACCGCCGTTTAGGCTGAATCTGTCCATTTTGAAAGACCCTGGAATATCACAGTGGGTTGGCAAGCAGATGAACGATGGGCAACAGGCAAAAGACCTGTTTGTTGACCCCGAAGACTGGGTAGACGTCGGACTGGGGATTCTTCAGTCTGCAATGATTGAGTTTTCTCGGATGAAAGCCGCCAATCGGAACTGGAAAGAGAAACAGCTAGAGGATGAGATTGCACAGGCAAAAGCCTATGTGGGTGATGACCCTTTCCTCGAATATTACTGGCCTGAGAAAAGAGCAAATGCTCTCAAAAAATTAGAAGCTTTAGAAATCCAAAAGCAGGCAGTGTGGCAGGAATGGCTAAAGGTCAAGGGAATAATGGGCCTGGACCGAATGACGAAAGAGACTTTCAGGTCCTTGATCCTGAGTAGATCAAGACCAGTGATTAATGAACTTGCTCATCCCTTTGCCCTGAACGCAGTTCCAGCCACCCACACAGTTGAGATGTGTGCATATGCTATGGAATATTTTAGAGATATAGTTGCTACTAGGAGACCCTTTGATACCTTTGACTCTAACCTGGCGGAGTCCCTCTCCTTTTGGGACTGTCCCTTGAAGCCTATTTCCCGCGCAGCATGTCAATCCCTAGAAGACACTATCATTGTGGATGAGGTTACCCGGGCGGCCCACCGGATGGCAAAAGGGAAATGCCCAGGACCAGATGGTTTGCCCATCGAGTTTTTTCTCTCTTCATGGGACTCCTTTGTTAACTTTTTTTGCGATATTTTTAATGAAGCCCTCCAGACAGGCACCCTTTTGCAAGGGTACATGGGATGATCTCACTACTATACAAAAAAGGGGACAAGCGTGAAATACGTAATTGGAGGCCGATATCGGTCCTGAATGTTTCTTATAAGCTATTGGCAAAAGTTTTGGCCCTAAGGCTTTCAGACATCCTCCCGGAGGTGGTGGGAAGAGAATAGGGAGCCTTTGTCAAAGGCCGGTCCATTTTTGACAATATTCTTTCGACCGTCCAAGCCCTGGAAGTAATAGCGAAGGAAAAAAGGGAGGTTGTCATTTTGATGCTTGACATGGAAAAAGCCTACGATAAAGTGGGTTGGGCTTTTGTAAACACCTCCCTGATACGTCTGGGGTTTGGGGATGGATTCAGAACTTGGGTCAAAGCAATGTATTCTCGTGCAACAGCGTCGGTACTGGTTAATGGGCTCCAATCTGAAACCTTTCCCCTAACTCGGTCGCTGC